AAAAAAAAAAAAAAAAAGAGAAAGAGAGAGAGAGAGAGAAAGAGAAAGAGAAAGAGAAAGAGAAAGAGAAAAAAAAGAAAAAGAAAAAGAAAAAGAAAAAGAAAAAGAAAAAGAAAAAGAAAGAAAAAAAGAGGGGCCATGAAACACAATTGAGGCTACCATACTGTACTACGCAAATAAAACACCCACGGTCATGTACTTTGTTCAAGCAACCACAACAATGTAGTTCGACATTAAAAAAATAACAAACTCAAAAGAATCCCCCCAATGCAAATTACACACTCTACATTACCTGTGCACAATACTATGCAATTGGTTCATAAAAAGTTGTATTCAACCCTTCTCCTCCATAGCCATAAGAACAAAGAGGAGAGCGACTTCAATAATACCAATTTCAAAATGAGGAAAAAGCTTAGCAGATATGACCGAAGCTATAGGCAAAGACAAATTAATAATCTTGAAAGTTGACACTTCAAGAAAAAAAATAATCATTCGATTGCAAAAGTTTGGGGAAAAATAAAGTAAGGCAAATGGGAAAAAATTAAAACAAATTAACCAGTAAGCACAAAAATAACTGATAGAGCTAAGAAGGAGCGGTTTAGAAAGACCTACAATAGACAAATCTTTTAACAAGCCTAACGTGAGACAGAGAGAGGCAAATACAGACAACAAGGAATGAGAACACGGCCACAGGAACTAGCAGCCATGGGGCCACGCCCCCCGCAGGGACCCATGCGGGACAAGGGTGGCCGGGCCTCCGCAGTACTGACCTGATGAGGGCCTTCAGAATGTCAGCCCTGCCCACACGCGAGGCGTGGTAGACTGGGGTGCTGCGGTGGTGCCGGCTTCCGTTGGGGTCGGCGCCGGCTTCCAGGAGGATCTGGGCGCTCTCCAGGTGCCCGTTCACCACAGCCACGTACAGGGCGGTCTGTCCCTTTACATCCACGAGGTCCACCTCGGCCCCTTTCCGGATAAGGAAGTCCACACAGTTGCCATGGCCGGCAGTGGCCGCGATCCTCAGCGGTGTGCAGGGCAGCCAGCCGCAGCACCAGACAGACTTCTCGTTGATGCGGCTAAGAAAGAACATAGGGGAGCCAGGCTGTGAGGGGCAGCCTGGAAAACTGACGAGCCGCTCGGCTTCCTCTCATACTGGTACCTACATGAAACAGACAGCAGGAGGGCAACCTCTTCAGACGGACACTCCTGTGCTTTAAGAATGCCCCCACGTGTGTTGTTTTATGAAATGCTGGATCCGTGCACGTGGCAGAGCAGATCTGAAGGGCCCATTCCACGGCAGAGGAAACTGAGGCACAGGCAGACAGATGGGCACTAGGGCTGAGATCTCAGATTTCCTGATTCTCGGTCCAGAGCTCTCTGCTCCACAAAGGGTAGATGGGTCTGCCCAGGGAGTCAGTGCGGGGTGGAGAGCAGGACACTCGCTGGGAATCTGGGTCAGGGTCCCGAGGCCCCTTTTCACCAGCTACCAGCTGTGAAGGCCTGAGGTCGGGCCTCGGCATCCTCACTGGAGCCAGGCGACCGCTGTGGTCCCTCTACCTGTGACACAGCACAAGTCACAGCCTGCAGGAATCACTAAGGCCACACGGGGCTACCCTCCTGGCCAACATCAGCAGAGGGAAACTGGCCAGACTCAGCTCTCATCAAAAGGGAAAATCAGGCCACGGTTCCCTGTCAAGGAGTGCCACGGCCATGCAGTCCACTGACCCACCACGTCCTCCATCAAGACGCGGTTCACTTCACGCTCCCGAGGCAGCTGTGACCAGAGCCTGGTGATCCAGATCACGGAAGCAGTGACGCGGAAATACGTAGTGGGCCAGGGGCTCCTCCTTCGGCGCACTGGCTTCCACTAGCCAAGGAGACCGAGGAATGCTCCAAGGACTCCTCATCAGAGAAGTACACAGCAACAGGAAAATATCGTCGAGACAGATTTACTAAACCCCAACATAAAACAAGAAAAAAAAGTACTTGGAAAAGCAGTATGAAAACACTTGTCTAAGACCCAGCTGAACTCCGTCTCATTCTATTGTTTTTATTGTTACCTCTGCAAATTCAAGCGTTTCTTTGGGCTTGAGTCATTCATATTAAATATTCATGTGGAATCCATCTGATGTCTTTGTATGATAATCCTTCCTAGATATTTACAGCTTTTTTTTTTAATACTGCTATCTATTCTGAACAATAATGCTAAGACATTAGAAGTAGAAAAAGAAACCTACTCTTGTATTGTTAGAAATCCTTCTCTTGGGAGCTAATCATAAAATGTGGCATTAATTTCACCACTCATACGCAGGCTTTTCTTCTATCAACTTCCCTGAAGGGGAAACAGAAACACAGAGCATGAGGAGTTTCCGGTGGCAGGTCAGTTTCAAATCTAGCTGGGACTCCAGTCCTGGACACACAAAACAGAGAACCCCCGGAGGCAAGGAAGACTCTACGCTCTCCCAGGTGTCCCCAGTGGGAAAAAGGTAACATCAACGCTCCTGCTGCTACGAAGGAAGAGCCTGACGGGGTTGGAGGATCTGACGGGCAACACGCAGAGCTCTATGGACAGAGGGAATAAGAAAGTGAGCACAGAGCAGAACCCAGGAGGGTGAGACACCTGACCTGAGACAGAGCCCCAGGCCCAGGAGGCAGACAACTGGGGACCAGAGAAGCTAGAGGAGAGCACATCAGGGGTGATGTATAAATGGGGTACATCAGGAAGTCCACGCCCACCAAGGGGTAACCAAATGAAAATAACAAAGGGGAACTTATGTATACAGCTTAGGGTAAAAGGCCACGAAAGACTTGGGGGTGCCTGGGTGGCTCAGCTGGTTAAGCATCTAACTCCTGATCTCAGCTCAGGTCTTGATCTCAGGGTCGTGAGTTCAAGCCCCTCCTTGGGCTCCGTGCTGGGTGTGAAGCCTACTTTAAAAAATTAAGAAAAATAAAAACTATTTAAAAAAAAAAAAAAAAAAAAAAAAAAAAAAAAAAGAGCCACAAGAGACTTGGAAGGGGACAGGACCACTGTTGACGAGAGTAACAGTGCTGCCATCAGGATTACCATCAAGGAAACTGACACCAGAGAGGGCCAGAAGTTTCCAGGAAATATAAAGGTCAATGACAGAGCGAGACTTGAACTCAGGTCTCCCTACAAGTCTGACCATGCTTCCCCGGTCTCCTTTCTCCCCCTGGCCTGGAAAGCACCAGGGCCTTCACCTGCAGACCAGGGAGTCACATGGACCCTCATGGATCATGCACTTCAGCTCCGCGCAGACCCACGGGGCCCAAGCACCGGGCCAGCCCCAGGACAGTGACGCTCACCTCCGGTAGCTGTCCTCTTGCAACAGGCTCCTGAGGGTCTGGAGGTCCCCCACGTAGGCTGCATCATGGAGCCTTGTGTCCTCACAGTGCTCCAGCGGATGGTCACAAAACTGCTCCCTCAGCCACTCCTTCAGATTAGGACCTGCACTGAAGAGAGGGGCTCCTGTCAGCCAGTGGAAACCCTGCCAATACCAGCCAGGAGGGGGCGCCATCTGCAGCGAGCCCTCTGTCCTCTGGCTACGGGACCCCTCAAATGCTCAAGAACGAATCATTCCCGTGCTCCAGAAAAACAGAGAAATACAGAAAGTTTCCCGTAATGAAAGAAGCACATTCCCGACACCAAACCTGGCAAGGGCAAGAATTTTAAAAACGCTGGTGGGGTGGGAGGTAAGGAGTCAACCGTACTGAAGGATACAGAAGATCCTACATAAAATATTAGCAAGGTTCAATTTAAAATACGTATCAAAAAATCCACCATAGGGGCGCCTGGATGGCTCAGTCGGTTGAGCTTCCGACTTCAGCTCAGGTCACGATCTCGTGGTCTGTGAGTTCGACCCCCATGTCGGGCTCTGTGCTGACAGCTCAGAGCCTGGAGCCTGCTTCGGATTCTGTGTCCCTCTCTCTCTGCCCCTCCCCCACTCATGCTCTGTCTCTCTCTGTCTCAGAAATAAACATTAAAAAAAATTTTTTTTTAAATCCACCATAATATCACTCTACCTATCCCAGGAATGTAGGAGTGTCTTAATATTGGAAGAAACCATAGGATCACCTTCTGAATTACAGAAAGACACTTGCCCTTGGCAAAATTCAACAGCCAAACAAATGCGGCTGTTTGTAACAAGCTGACCTGGGTAATGACCTCAGAGGAGTCTACGTGAGTAACTCACCAGCCGGTAACCTAAGATGGGGGCACTTCACTAAATATAAGTTACACCTCGGTAAGAAGGAAAATTTAAAAATATGTGGATATAAATAGAAGGCCAGCCTCGCATAATAGACTATAAACCTGCAAAATAACAAAGACTAGAAGCGGTGAGCACATACCATGCACCCGGGTTAAGAGTCGATGCTAGGAAACTTTTATTTTTTTTTTTATTTTTAATTTTTTTTTAATATTTTTTTTAACGTTTATTTATTTTTGAGACAGAGAGAGACAGAGCATGAACAGGGGAGGGGCAGAGAGAGAGAGAGACACAGAATCCAAAACAGGCTCCAGGCTCTGAGCGGTCAGCACAGAGCCCGACGCGGGGCTCGAAATCACGGACCGTGAGATCATGACCTGAGCCGAAGTCAGATGCTTAACCGACCGAGCCACCCAGGCGCCCCGATGCTAGGAAACTTTTAAATGGTACCACATAAATGAAGAGGTTTAACAAATCTCTTGGGGGGGGGGGGGGTATTTATTCTTTTAATGTTTATTTACTTATTTTGAGAAAGAGAGCATGCCAGCGGAGAGGGGTAGAGAATCCCAAGCAGGCTCACAAACCCGTGACATCATGACCTGAGCCGAAACAAGAGTCAGACGCTTAACCGGCTGAGCCACCCAGGTGCCCCATCTTCGGGGTTCTTATATGCAACACAAATATCATAAAAGTTTATCTGGAAATAGGAATGGGAATCATTTTTTTTCAGCACATATGACACGAAATCTACCCTACCAGTTAGTTAACAGAACTGATTATTTGTCATCAGAATAAAAACATAAACAGAATCCACTGCTCAGGAAAGACCTTAATATAAAGATAAATGGGTATCAAAATCTGTAAGGGATAGAAAGAGTAGTTGCTATCGACTGAACGCTTGTGTCTCCCCCAAAAATAATGTTGGAATCTTAACCCCCAAGGTGATGGTTTGAAGAGGTAGTGACTTTGTAGGTGACTGGCTCATGAGAGCAGAACCTTCATGAATGAGATTAATGCCATTATTAAGAGAGACCCCCAGAGAGCTCCCGCTCACCCCCCACCACGTGAGGACAAGGCACTGCTGCTGTCTATGAACCAAGAAGCAGGCCTCCCCCAAAGAATCCGCTGGGGCCTTGGTCTTGGACTTCCCAACCATCAGAGCTAAGAAAAATAAATCTCTATTGCTTTTAAGCCATCCGGTAGTATATGGTATTCTGTTATAGCCTGAACGGACTATAGTAGTCAACAAATTTGTAAAATCAGATACCTACTTGCAAATTCTCGCATTTTTCACCTGACACTAGAGCTCAGAAATAATCTCCAGATAATCAAGAGTTCTGCATACAACATCACAGACAGGGAGGGGCGTAAGGAAAGCGCACGAACTCGGCTCCCTGCATTCAAGTTCCTGCCTTGCCACCCTGTTCCAGCATGCGACCAGGCACAGAAGGACACCCCTCCGCAGGTGCACTCCTTCCAATGATGAAGTTGGTTTTTATATTCAAACCGTATCTCTTTTGAACACCTACTGTATACAAGGCTTGGCCCTGGCACAGTGGGGGTGACGAATGTTTCCTTGCCCTTCAGGACTCAACGGATCATTGGCAGATGGGCAGGGCAGCAAGGGTTCACAAACACATGGGTCCCTCAAGCTGATCCCACAACACCTGTGGCAGATCAAGAGGCAGGCCCCAAGGAACCCTTAGGGCCGCCCCAAGGAACCCTTAGGGCCACCCCAAACTCTCCTCCACTGCAGTTATCCACAGTCTCACCCCACAGAGTGAAAGAGTTCAAAGCAGGAGGGGGTAAGATGCAGAAAACATAGAACAAAGCCTGACAGGTTAAGTGGGGGGGCCATGGACTTTTGCTAGGTTCTTCTCCGGCCTCCCCTCGCTGGCCGCTTTTCAACCCGCTCCCTGGCCCAGCTCAGTGCAGCCTCCTCTTCCCCAGCTCCAGATCCCAGGATAACTTCAAGTTTGTGCTTTTCTGATCAGCTTCTCCACTGTCAACGCGATTACTCCGCAGAGCACTTAGACCTTCACTGGAAATGTCCACGGCCCCTCCACTCCCGGGCCTGCAACACTCTAAATAACAAAACAGCACTGCACAGATACAAAAGAGCCCTGTATACAGGTGCAGAGCAGCCTTTCTTCCACACGGCTCCCGTCCCTACTGGGAAGGGGCCCTCAGGCCTCCTCTCAGCCCATTCCTCTCCCTCAGGCTGAAATGACAGCCCAGGCACCAAAGTCCTGATACCTGGGGTCAAAGTCAGTATCAACCGAATCTCAGGATGGAAGGCGCTTTGTCTGACCTGCCCCGGTTCGCTGGGCTGTCCCCCGCCCAGGCAAGGTCTGGCCTGCAGGAGTTCGATAAACGTCTGGTGGAAGAATGGAGGGATGAAAAGGCCCACTTGAGCCAGTCTCCAGGTGTAAGAAACTCTTGGGAGACGAACCCGTAAAGTGCAGAGCACACAGAAGCACTCGGTAGGCAGGGCAAACCCAGACAACCAACACGGAGGAAATCCCGCCACAGGTTAGGGCGAACCTCTCCTCTCCTGTGCTTAGGAGGAGGGTCTCAAGGTGGAAACCCTAAGTCTGAGGACCATTGTGGGAGGTCGCCGTGAGCCTTCCTAGCTGCCTCCTCTGCCGGTGGGCCCCTGGACATGCTGTGTCACGAAGAGCTCGCTGGGGACGGTGTTATCGCTGTCCCTTGCCTGTGCGTGTGATGTACCTCCCCAGGCAAGCCGTGGGTGGCGGGGCGGAGAAAAAGACACCTGCCCTCAGGAGGGGCTGGCCTCTGGGGGCTTTCCTGACCCGTGCGTTCGAAGCTGGGAGATGATCCATGTCCTACGGTTACAGTTGGGGTCCTATCAAATCCCCACCGGCTCAGGAGCCGGCAGTTAGAAAAGCAAGTTCCACAGGACAGTAACTCCGGCGCGAGGACGTCCACGCGAGGCCGAGGAGCGGGCACACGCAGCGGCCGGGCCGCCCCGCACCGAGAGCCGCGCTGACCCGC